ATAATAATAATAATGACAAGATAAATTTAGGGCATAAAAATGAACATTATTAAAATTACGCCACAATATTATAAAATTAATTACTAACTAGTTGATCACGAAGTTGGCCAGGGTAAATGAGCGCTGGACATATTTCTTTTGGATGCAAAGCTCTGACTTTATGATACGAATAACAGTTGCTTCGGCCGTCTGCAAGATTCTCAGTCTGATGGAATCAGGTAGACTGCTGTTAACACGATATATCATTGCAAAAGATTGCTCCATGTTGTCTGCATGTCCAGTCTGAACTAAATGGGTTAAAATGGAGCTGTTAACTGTTTTGACTAAACCTTTGCTTAGCCACACTGGTAGGTGCTTACGTGCCTGAATGTACAAATTCCTAGAACACCCCTCAATATAAATTGCTTTACAGGTGCAGTTGTGTCGATAAATACAGAAAGAGGTGGCGACTCTAGGCAATTTATCGTTCAACCTCGGAGTGATTATTGGACGTGTGGAAAACATTAAATGAAATTTACCTGCATTAAAAGTCTTTTGAATTGATCTGCTTGAGCTCAATGTTAGCATTTCACTCGATACATCGCCCCTGAATTATAAGCGTATATACAGAGGCTTTTTATTCACAGTTAGGCATTCTCTTAGCTCTCTGTTGTTGGCTATGTTTTTATTTATAAATTTTGAGAGATATCCATTTTCTTTCAGAGTTGTGTATAATGCCTTTGTTTCGTCTTCGACCGTATCTAGAGAGCATATGGTCTTGATTCTATGATGCATTGTCTTAATAAGGTTCCTCTTGCATTGTTATCCCGTCCTAGTCACCTACCACATTACACTTTATTCCTAATACAATTTGGGGTTCACATCCTATGTCCTACAGTCCCAATAATACGTTATTTAATTCTTATACACTGCCTATCACTACACAAATATCCCCATCAGTTTTTGCTCCAACTCCACAACATGTCACTTAACCACCAGTAGTATCACTGATATGGAACTTTATATCTACTTCATACCACAACCTAATTAAACGTAGTACGATTCAAGATTATTCAAGTGGAAACTCTTGAAATACTCAGCAACTGCCCACAAGAAACATTATCAACCTTAACACAATGTGTGCTCCTTCTTGTTTATTTCCGTTCAGTTTTTCGCGCTTAACACATGTTTTCACCCGTCGTCTGTAAAATACTACATTTACAGAATGCGTTTTATGAGGTCATAATTTCAACAAACCCCCGTTTCTCTGATAGTTCATGATAACTTTAAACTCATTGCACAATTATATCACGCAAAACTATATGTTAGCCATGTTCGTGTTCATGAATATTTAGTTGCATGACTCCACTAGTTTTGTTTACTTAATAATCCATCTTGCATTAAATATTAATTCTGAAGTCACATAAATTTTTGATCATCCCCATGGTGATGGAGTGGATATACTATGCTGAAAACAAATAAATTGACCAATAATTGAAACGAGGCAAAATATCAGCCAAATAAGACTGGACAAAGGCAACAATAGAGGAAAAATATATATTGGGAAAAAAATTAAAATAATCGCCTGAAATATTTGTATCTGGAGACTTTTAGACATGATTAAACAGAAACACAGAAAATGGAACCCACATTTGATTCTAAGAATATTACTCCTAAATCCGTTGCATACTATTCTGTCGGGATTACATGCTTTGGTTCCCTTTAGACGATTGCGACAGGCCGTAAGCCAGTCCGAACCCTGCATGTTCCCTACTGTAAATAAACTCAAGCACCTAAACTTTCTATGTACATCAACCAACTCTACATTCCGTGTGAATAATGTTGGGACGATTTTCGAGAAGCATGATGAAGCATCCAGAGGGTCTAAAGGAACCAAAGTGTTTCTGTTTAATCGGAACCTGATAGAGCTTTCTAGAATATCAACGAGGTAAGGAAACGGACAAGAAATGGAAAGAACAAAAAGCGGCCGGACTGTACGGTAAATGAGCAGGTTCCCTCAATTGAGACCGAGGAATGAAACTTTGATCGTTGTAGCTGGTCAGTTATCCTCGACAGAGCTGAGGAGGGCAGAAGCTCCGAGTGCCAGACTAGTTCTGAAACGACAATTTAGTCAAAGATTTTGTGTAGGGTTTTTTGTCCGGACCCTTATGGTTTGTTCCTGAATATTTCATTATTTTCCTGGAAAATATCCACAACCCAAAATTAATTTAGTGGTAAACTATCGGATTTTTTTAAGTATAACTAACTGCTTTTCATGTAGTCTTGATCCGAAACGGTTATTATTAAACTTTATATTGTAGCGTGGCGTCGAGTCGAAGGTTAACTTTGAACACCGCTACCAAGAAACACGTGCCAATTAGATCAGAAGGCGTAAGAAGCTCGTTCCAAATGACTCCATAAAATCCCCGAGAAGCCAAATATCAGAAGGCAGTTAATGGACCAAGTCGAGGTGTATATTTGCTGGCGACCTCGTGGCATCGAAAGGATACCGAGATCGTGCCAGGATACAACCTTGGTTACAGAAGGTAACCGAATTCGCGCGAAGTTACAATCGAAGTGTAAGTATAAGAATGGAAGCACAAAATAGCTGTCATTAGCACAGTCAAACAAAAGCACATTAAAACAAGCACTGGTACAGTTGGTTATAAGAATAATTGTTTCTATCAAACCAGTTGTGTTCTCGTGATAAATGTGAGTCACTACAATATAGTAAAAAATGAATGTATTAAGATTTCTCTAGGTCACATTACGAAATTTTATAGATTAAGCAGCTAGGTATTGGGCTTGGAGGAAGATCGAAATGCTTAAGATAGTGATTAAATACACGAATGGCTTGGATTAGACTTAATGAAATAGAAACAAAATGAAATCCGATATTTCTGTCCCGAAGACCTATCACCTTCTGGAAATAAAAAGTCTGCCAACGAACCTAAAGTAGGAACCCGATATCAAACGAAAAGTGCTCAAGGATTCAAATTTTCGGGCTCGTGAGGCGTCAGGTGCAAACGATGTCAAAACCACTTTTTGTAGCATCACGAAGATATTTTAGTGGTATTCGAAAAAAGAGCTTCCTTAATACATAATTAGAGCTATATGCATATGATAATGTCATGAAAAAAGTAACTAGCCCAGTCTCTAGGCAATAGGGTGTGGTGATCTACTTTTATCATGAGAACGCGACTTGTTTAGTGGGAACAATTATTATTATTATAACCAATCATACCAGTGATTGTTTGACCGTACTTGTTTGTTTAACTGTACCAAAGACATTCTTCCTTCCGTTGATTGTGACCTTGCACAAGTTTACGTTTGCTCAGTCATTCCGATTGTACTCCTTTGGCACGATCTCGGTATTCTTTTGATACCACGAGATCGCCAACACGTATATTTCGCCACAACCTCCAGTCGCCTTCTGATATCTCGTACGCAACCTTCTTGTAGTGGTGATCATAGTCAATCGCGACTCGATTTCATACTAAAAGGGAACTAAATTTTGTAAATCTCTTACAAGTAATCGCTTGAAAGGTTCAGAAAAGCACCTACTGTAGACAAGGATATTTTGAGAACTATTTAACCGAAAACGTTCGAAAACGTCTAGCCAACGTGAGTGTTAAAGTGGCCTAATTGAGCACGAAAGATTCGATTTGATACGACCCGAATTAATGTTGCCAAATCATATATTGCTCAGCTAAGAGGACGAGGTTACACATGTCGACTCTAATTCACTCCCAAGCAAGAGTGGCTACACAGCTCCCGTTTTTGACTTTCAAGTTGTTGTCAACAATGATATGCTACCTCAAATCAAACCAAAAGGCTGGACGGGAAACATACAAGAAATTATACAAGCACTATTCGCTTTAAATCAAAAGACAGAGAAAATATCTTTTATAAGAAGGATCGAATAGATTTACAACAACTTTCACGTAGAGGCTGCAACCTTATATTTGCCCCGAATAGTAGGGTAGAGCTAAAAAACCCTCCACCGTGGCACTGTACTGGGATTACTACATCTCTCTATGAAAGAAAACAAACGTGGGGGGGGGTTACACCACTAGACACTGACAGGGTCAACTTTCTATATCGGGAAGCTAGAAATATTTGTAATCCTACGCTATATAAGTCTAGTTGTAAGTAGGGTAGAGAGATTGGCAATGATTCTTAAGTATGCTTAAACGTCTACATTCTCAAATGCACTGGAAAATGTTGGGCAGGGCGTTATCTCATCTACAAAGAGAGCGTTAGACACATACATAGAGGAGACACAGAAGAGGATTTCCAGAACTCTTGCACTACCTACTGTTAGCGAAACAACGCAACTACACTATGTGAGATTTATTATTATTATCATTCACGAAACTCTCATTCATATATAAGTATCCAAGCCAATCATTTCGGATATAACCACGAAATGCCATTGTACACAGTTATTTCAACAGTGTTTATATGATATTTACGATCTTCTAATGGGTTCTGTATAGCTCAGGGGAAAATAAGAGTGACGTCAAGACGTAGGTATTAATATGTCATATAACCAACCTGCCGACTGCGGTGGACAGATGGACAACCTTTCCTGATCGCACGGGGAAGTTTGATGTCATTTACCTTGACTTCTCAAAAGCTTTTGATCGGGCCAACCAAGTATGTCTTATCAATAAACCCAAACGGCTAGGTATAAAATCATCTCTAATTGGTTGGTTGGTTCCCCAGGGCTTCATCACTAGGACCTCTTCTTTTCTTGATTTATATAAACGATCTTCCACAGGAGGCATCGTCAGATTTGTCGCTTTTCGCTGACGAGGTGAAACTCTGGAGGGGACTGCGAAACCGAGAGGACTAGGAGTAAGGACAATATATTACTATGATTTAACAACTTTTTTCATTCTCCTCGTTTGTCGATAATATACCTAGGTACTTGCCCGGGGGTATTGGTTATCCACTGCTACTAGATATGAAAGCCCGTTAAGCGAAAGTATTTAAATTCCGTCCAGAACGTTTGAACCACTTCAACCATTTGAGTAACGCGCTACCTGATCTACGAAAGCGTGACTACGGTTACATAAGGCAATTCGTTTGTAAGTTTAGATTTCTTCCTGTAAGCTTATCTCAGGATTTATATCAGATGGACAAATTATTTAATCCGATTCAAACTTATTTGACCTGTTGCTTCCTTTACTTACTTCTTCAAAAAGTGCTATGATTTCAAATTTCTCAATCAACCAATGATTATTGGTTAATTTATTCTTCCTTTAAAGAGAAAACAAAGGGGAAAGTGCGTCAAAAAACAACAGAGAATACATAGGGAAACGCGCCAAAATGTCTGCTCTTTCGCCCTTCCGGAAGGAATAATATTGATTCTCCCCTTTATGTCGGTCTGTTTTAAACGTTGCTAAATTGTTTACTTGTCGCAAAAGTGTACTCCGACTCGTCTGCTTGTAGCCAAAACGCACGCCGAATTGTCTACTTGTCGCCTTAATACTAGCCGGTTTATCTGATTTTGCTTCAATTTTTGACACACCTTTGGCTTAACCCCAAACATTTTCGGTATTCGCTTTTGTCCCCATAACACGCAACACCTCAACTGTTGACGTTAAAAATAGTACATGTTTAAATAAATTTTTTAAAAAGAGAACGTCATATTGTACAACGTTATGGGTAGTTGATAGATGCTGGGGCATCGATTGTTATGTATTTTAATTGTAATTGCCAAGTCTTATTGAAATTTGAGAAATCTACGGAAGAAAGAACAGCTGACGTTGATTAGGCACGTGTACTTAATTGCAAGTGCATTCAAAATCAAACAGATTTTCTCAACACTTAGTCAGAACGTTTCCCATGCAAGTAAGAAAGTAAGCTCATATTTAAAAAATGTTTATTGTAAACCAAGTTTAACATAAAAAATATTCCACTGGTTATTTCTTTTCGTAACTCCTGTTCGGCTATTGAGGATCAAAATAATCTTGTGAATTCTGAAATGGAAAGAACAAAATAGTTTACAACGATATCTAAATAACGTTTTTTTATACTGGCTACGTGAAGTGTTACTTACGGTTATGTTTGTTAACACTGAAGACTGTACCTATAGAACAGTAGGGAATAGTTACCACTTCAACTTAGTACATCCATGTTCTTGTTATCTTCGATGACGCTTTTGTAATTTGTCTCGTGAAAATAACCTTGGGCAGCGATGTTATGCAGTTTCGCAAAATCTTTTTCGTTGACAGGTGATGACAGGAATAGACTAGTTAATCCACCTGAAGTTTAAAGAGCATATACTACTTCGTATGCAGCCGTAAAACCTGCACTTCTGAAGATCTTTTTTCGATAAAGTGCCAAGTAGCGTGAAATGACTGGCGACTTCAGGTGTCATGACGTATGACAAAATATATCGCATTGACATTTTAGGATTACCATAAATTTACTGCGTCTACATGCCCATCTGTAATAAAAACAAATTAATTTTATTGACTTACAAATCTCTCCCTTATGTCTTCCTCCTGAAGACAAGCGTCCAAAGTTCCCAGTTTCTCTTCAGATTATAACGGGAACTGCCGACTTGACAGTCCGCAATTGTTTTCGCGGATGTTCACGCCCACCAGACTTCGGCATTAGCTTCTTCATATTGGCACTCGAGTTAAAAATACAGGAATATATGTTCTGTAGTACAGTATACAATCTATCAAATCTCAAAAACTTAACTCAATCGGACACGTGACCTATTCGGCCGCTAACGCACTGCCTACACGCCTGAACTCGGACGTTGATGGCGACGTGTCCAACTGTGTCGATCTAGTTAATTAACATATTAAAAGTAAACAAGCCTACTTGGCGATCAGCGAGACAACACTGTCGAACAACCGACGTTTGTGATATTCGACATGGCTATTTCCAGCCTGCGTCTCCGCCACATCCATCTCAACGGAATTGTAAACAAACCCTTCTTTACGTATCGATGCATCTCTACAAAATATTAGTAAGATTATTGTACTGTCCTCTTCGGCTTCTCATTGTTTACTGGCAGGGTGTTTTCGTCCTTAGAACTGTTGATGCAGCAGACATCTAATTTTTTGAAGGGAACCAACAACTCCTTTGTAGCCTGAAGGCTATCTGTAGGAAATGCCTGTTTCTATGTTTGTAACTCACGCATTCGTGAATGACCTTACACCTCAGGACTGACCAGTTTTCATCTGGTTGGTCACTGTTTTGCAGGTGCATATCAACAAGCTCCGTTGGATAGCGACAAATCCCTTTTCCCACAATCCACTGTTTAGCTGCAGTCATAAGCTGCCTCTTGCTTGGTGCGTCTACAATTACGTATTGTTTGTAAGCCGGCTAAATAGGACATAAGAGGTAAGGAAATGGTTTATGGTAATACCATCAGCAAAAATGAAACACAATACATTCACATAAACGTATGTAGCAATGGAACAACCACTAAATAATTGACACAATGAAGGGCAATACATTTGCAGTCAATATCCTTGACGTAAACCCATGTGTGCTCATGACTAACTACTGAGCACATAAATGTTCCCATGTCACTAGAATGAAAAGGATCTTCGAAGTAGTTGCGTGGGTCTGTGAGTGACCTAAGTTTCATTAATCCATGGTCCTCTACATCGGTGATCAGACCAGGCTTTCCGTGTACTGGTACCATATTATCCTGCTAAAATGAAGTTATTTTAATATTCTTAAGCATAATTACTTGTTTGTGTGAGTCTACCTTACTGGTTATTTGTGTACGATCAGTCGAAATGCTAGCTTGAAGCCTATCACGGAAAGACATCTCAACATAACGCTGAACTGCTTGCCTGGCTACGGCATACCCGCTATGCATTGATTTCCTAATTTCTCGAATGGAAATGCTGAGAAATAATCTCTAGGTCTATGTGCACGAATAAATAATAAAAAATTCTAGTTTAGGTGTATAGTGTTAATACCGTATAGAGCATATCAAACCAATGGAATAATCGCTGTCGTACTGCCTCAGGGACTCCATGATTTAGCATGCGTACCCTCAAGTATATCAATAGACCAGTTATACAATTTAGTACTGATAATTTCCAAACAATGCTCTCGAAAAATATTTGTTTTTATTGGATAGGTTCAGCGTAAGTGATCACTTACCTATCAGCTAATTTTCGATATACTGGGAGTACTATATTTTTGCAGTTGATGTCAGCACTTGACAGGTACATTTTACCGTTGCTCTTTCAGGTACCGATACTTGCAAATAAAATTTGATTCAATGAATCCTTATCCCCAAAACATCTGGTGAATTTTGAATTTCTGGACAGCACCATTCCTTTTATCAAAATGGATCTTGTTTACAAGCTTTACAAAAATCAGGAATCCTCATATCTTCCACGTAAAATTCTCCAATCCCTAACATACTCTTTCATGGGATTAGCTTCAAAGATAGCCTTGTCACGTCATCAGCTAAACGTTGTCGGTTCGGAACGCCTTTTATTGGCCATTGACAAAAGACCTAGTAATCAGCCTTTGATTACAGTCAGCAATCACCATTCGTGTCTTGACGATTTTTTCTTGTGTGGTTCGTTGCTTAAACTTAGGCATTTTGCTAATGGTATGTAGTATCACGACATTCGAGCATTATGAAAATATTTAGTAACCGTATGTCGTTGGTGCTTGACAGCTGTAGATATATGTTATACAACTTCGCTTCATACCAACTTCTTCTTCTGGTTCAGAGGAGTTCCTATATGGCGAAGGGTTCGTGATCCGCTATCTGGTAAAATAACTCACTTTGGTGGGGGGGTTTATCAACCTAGTATGGATTTTTGCATCAATTTACTAAATTCTGGCCAATGGGTACATGTATTTTCCCAGGTTTGTAAACATGATTAAGTTTAAAATATCTGGTAATTAATATTTACGATACCACAGCTGTGAGTTTAGTCGTTTTTAAAGTAGTTGCCTTTTTAGTATGTTAATTTTTTTAGTTCATGTTGTACTAATTATATTCTTGCCAAAATTAATGATTTCACTTTATTTCTAGCATAATTCCATACTAATCTTTGCTTGATTTCATTTTCCAACTATTTTACATCATTTTTATCTCCTTTCTCTCTTTCCAACTTTAGTAGTGTAGATTGTGATATTGCTCAGAATAGTTCCTAGTGGTCAAGGTTCATTCACTCTTTATCTTCCTCTCGATCTTGAGTCCAATTGCTCCTTCATACTTACCCTTCCACTGTTTTTACGAGCTATATTTCAAATGTTCATTTGTCTTCATTATCACTGTTACTACATTTTTTTCGGCCTATTGTGTAGTTTATCATATAGATTTCATCTTTTATGGTATGCCAACTGGAGCCAACACAGCCCTTTATCCGGATCTATGTTGATAATGATTTGGTAATTTAACAATCTTCCTGTGTTAATCAATCAATGCTTAGGGAAAATATCACTTTACGTACATTTTTAAGCATGGTAAAAGTATAATGAAAACGTAACTCGATAGTTCGTTATGATAAGTTTAGCAAAAGGTATTGTCCATCAGGTTACCACCATATAACAGCACATCTTAAAATATTGAGTAAAACATTTTCTACCTCACTGACCAGTGACCTGAAGTATTCATCATTGCTTGAGGGCCTTCCTGTCACTCACTCCACTTACTTTAAAACATAGCAATCTCACTACGTTCAGATATTTGGAAATGTTGTACAGCACTGATTCCATTGGATGCTTCTACTAAGCCATAGTACTCAGAATTGACTAAACCCACTAAGTCAGAGTGTTTATGACTTCCACCGTTTGGACCTAAGGAAGAATTTCCACAAAAATTCACTAGTTAGTCTATGTTCAGTTTTTTATGTGATCATCTAGAATAAGTGCCATTTATCTTTTGTTGTTGCGAATAAAACATTTGCTAGGAAATTACCAGTTTGTTAAGGCCCTTTTAAAATAAATCTTTGCTTTATAAGGTCGGCAAATGTAGATATATTAATGAGTGAAGCCCTAATCATCATTATAATTGTTATACTTTAGGGGAGAATTATTCAACCTCATGAACGTGGTTCTGAAAAAAATATTCGCCTACGTTGGGGAATCGGACGATTGATAGCCGAATCAAAAGAAGTAAGCTTTCGTAAGTCCTAGGTTTATAGTCTCACCTCACATACATTTTGCTCGTTCGTAAGCAATTTCTATAAAGTTTTGATAGCAGTATAGATTGTCAAAATATTTCATAAATATTGATAGTTAGGAAAATAACAGACGTTTGATATCTATCATATCTTCAGATATCAGCGCATTTAAAACGAATTTTATGTAGTCCCAACACGTCTCGCACTATTCTAGTTCTGGCTTTGGGGGAAATAATCAAAGTAGCTATAAAAATATTTGAGGTTGGGGATTTTAGTAACATAATACTCACGATTGTGTTATTTGCTATGAAATAGATTCAAATTGGAGTATGAAATAAGATGCAATATGTGTACGTTCTAATAAAGATGTACAACTCATTGGTGTGATAACGAGTGTGTTAGCATTTATGTTAATTATCTGCAATCGCGAAATGAGACTTAGATCAGAATGAAAAGGAAGGAACTGAATTGATGTGGAAGTCATCAGGAACATAGTTGTTTTAATTCATCTACAAAATACTTCTCAGAAATGTTGAAAGGAAATACCAATTCGAAGTAGTCAAATAAATGTTTATTGCTTCAGATAACATCAAGTTTTAAACAAAAATGAGAATAGTAGTTTCCAATAATGTTTAACTTTTATTTATCAGTTTTTTAGTAGTGTCTAATTAGATTTCTATACAATCTTGTTTCGTTTTCAAACCTCATTTCTTGTAAATGGAATATTATTGTAGATCTTTTTAGGGAACACTGAAGAATCCTGACATTTGTTTCATACTCCACTTTTTCGATTCAGCCTTAAGTTCAAGATGGTTTCCCAATTCCTCTCAGTTTTCTGTTTTCAGCTACCATTGCTTATATGTGCAAAAATCAACTTTTTAAATTCTGATTTATCTATAGCACAATATAACCACGGTACTTGTCGTTTGTATCATTTTTACTACCGACAAATCGTTTTGGGTAATTAGTTGCCTCAAACGCGAACAACATGTTCTGCTTCTGTTACGAGAAAAAAAAGCTTTTTTTAATAAATTCTCAGCAGCTATTAATCTACTAGTTAATACGTATAATGCACTGATATATAAATATAGCCCTATATCAGTCAGCCACAAACAATGTAGGACTTCAAATGTCTCTGCACTGTCTTTCAGAAAATATTACTCTTCATCGTTCTGTTTCTCATTGAACCAACTGTCAAACAAATTTCATTTTGTAACTATCAAATTCAACTTTCCTAGATAAATGTAATTTTATCCTGTTTAAATATCTAAAAAACCTCTTATCAAAATAACGATGTGATATCTACGCACCCCAACCATATTCTTAAGAAACTGGTGCATTCTAGCATATATATCCGTTTTTGATCTAATAGACTTTTTATCGATGTGTTGACTAAAATTAATCTGACGCACATAAGCTCATACCACTTAAAAACTTGATTACAGACTATCTAATCAACCTTATGAAATGAAAGTGCGTCTGTCATAAGTTGATTGAATGAACAGACTTCTTAAACGTCAAAATATTCCTTCTTCTTCCCTCAGGATCCACTTGTAATTCCTGTTTGGCATTGCGGTCTAGATCAACTAAATCCTTCTGAGGTTCCGAATACGTCTACTACGCTGTCATGTATATTTGGAAAACCGCGTCAGCTGACTGTTGTAGTAGGTAAACCAATCGATACCCATGGTTTACGTCAAGAATTAAAGAATAATTCATCTGAATATTTGGCCTCATCAGAATTTCGTTCACATATTCACTCTATGTATACTCAGGTTGTCCAAGAACAGCTATATAAACTCAAAGAAGAAACCGAATGTGAGCATCAAAGACTAAATCTGATCTAAAAACTGTGAATAGCTTTATTAGACGTCTACTTTTTTACCTTATATTTTTAGAATTGTCATAATGAATAAAAAGTTCTTCCTACGTGTTTTCGCGTCCTGATTGGCACATGTTCACTGAAACTTACCGATCTTTGCGGACTAGACAACTCGTTTTTCGTCCGATTATATCGTTTTTCATTTAAAATCTAGTAGTCGGTAAACCAATTTCGCCACACCCTATCTATTTAGATAGATAGTTTTTTTCAGTTGTCTTTTTTATCACCAGAAGATTTAGGAATAAGAATTGTGATAAGTCTTTTTGCTACAGGCTGAAGTACTTCGCGTTTCATATTTGTTTGTTCATTGGACTCGCTTATAACTTCTGTCAAGTTATACACTTATAAATACAATGAAAACTAGCCAGGATGTCTCCATACCGTTGACGTAAATCTCTGGTTCTTTAGTTAAGTAGACTATCTTATTAGCGTCTTTGGAATATATTTACGAAAAAGCCGTTTTCTTTGCGATATACTTGGCTTTTTTGGATCTTGATTCAATTACACGTCCTTGCGCTTTGATGGATTCAAACTTGAAACGTTTACTTCAGTCAAAAAGTTGTAGATGCGTATTATTATGAGTTCCATAAAAATTTCCTACCTTTTAAAGAGAGGAGTGTGCTTTTCGTATGATGTGTATTAGGTGCGTTGTGTATATTTTTATATTTTATGCTTACAATCTACTAAGGATATTATTAGTCACAAATTGGCCTCTTCAGATTTACCAACGTCGTAGAGTATCACTGTTATTGTAGACATGCCTTACCGACTAGCCCAGGGTGTATTCTCTTCCATCACTCACTAGTGTTTATCAGTACTTCAACTTGTCCACCTTGTTTTAACGACTATCTTTTTTTTCTGTGTAGCTTACTCGTAAATTAGATATCAGTATAATCATCTCGTTAACTTTCTTACCTATCTATCTCTTGGTGAAGCAGTGCCAACTAGTTTTTATTAGATACAATTATATCTCAGAATTTAGTTTTGGAAAACCTCATTTGATCTAACATCCACAGTAGCATAAGTCTTTCACTTTAACCAATCTATTCTATAGTGATTTTAACAGATAAGATTAGCTCTGTTGTATTACACTAATTTGTCTTGAGTGTGAATATTGAAATGTTGTGATCATGGATTTTGATACATCTCTTAAAATTAGTAGGAACTGAAGTAGAACATTTGTTTAAAAATCGGTCTTGACAAGTAGTTTTCAGTGTTTCTGGGTGAGCTTCTCGTCATTTTATTATCTCAAGTAAACTTGACCATTTGAAACAATATGGAAGAGCTGATATGACGGGATTTAAAAGCAAGTTATATTCCGTTACTCATTTTTATTTTTGTCCAACATTACTTCAATTTTAATTCAGTGTGATGGTTACCCAGGGTAGTATTTGTTTCGTTTTGCAATATATTATATTCAGAATAACATTAAGTTATTTGAGTGTGGCGTTTGTTCAAGATACGGTATTCTTGTATTAAATTAACGTGAGCTATACCCAGCATGACATGCAGCATGTAGTTTGTTACAACTCTAGGTATTTTTCATATATGTGATTTCCTCCTAATTAATAATCAACATGTGTACAATTAATATGTGAGTGCTTTCTCGACTAGGGTCGTCGTCGTGTTTTGGAGTTAATAAATCCTCACTTGTACCAGTCTTGATGTTCTTACTTCGGGTCGATGGAATTGCAGTGGTTCCTCGTTGTCCCGAGTATAAAAACAAGAGATTCAGGCATAGCATTCAACTATGGCCAGTCACAACATAAGCCTATTGAAAATTAACATACAACAAGGTTTATCACTATTTTCAGTTTAAATCATCATCTTGTGTAAGTTCTCGTGAATATCTCTTGCGTCAGTCAGTTACAACGTAGGGCCAGGCACAGATATACATCGGTCCAAGTTGCCATACCTCATTAGCACATCAAGATGAACACTGGATTCATAGAAGTAGTAAATTCAATGGTGGTAATATATAAAAGAAAGATTGCATATAAGGATATAGTACAGGAAGAAAGAGTTAGTTGGTAAAAAGAAAGATATAAAGCAATTTTAATCTCACAGTTTACGAGAGGACAAAGAGTGTATACACTATTGTATACGCTATTGTGATCCATTCTGAGCCATGTCACCAAGAGTCTCCAACCATTGGTTACGATAGTCACACGGACCCCAACCAAGTGGTCTGCATCTACAGACATGACTAAGACTAGAAGTTAGTGACTTCAAGCACTGATGCCACGTTTTGGTTTGGCCGCCCCTACACTAGTCAGCATGCGCGTCGTGGTAATCGGTGTTCACGTATACATAACCCAACCATCTTAGTCGATGAAGATTCACAACCTCATCAACTGATTTACCATCACTCCGTAATACTCTGCGTCTAGCTTCACTATTGCTTACCCGGTGATCCCCGCAGATGCGAGCAATATTTCTAAGGCATCTGTGGTCAAATACTAGTAGATTACGTGTATCTTCAACTCTTAATGGTCACGTTTCGTGGCCGTAAAGCAGAATAGAACGAACTGTCGCGCAGTATACTTGTCTCTTAATTGATAGACGGATATCTCGCATTCGCCATAGGTGACGTCTGTTGGCAAAAGCCGAAGGAGCTTTCCGAATCCGTGCTGAGATTTCGTCAGACACGAACCCATTATGGCTGATCAGACTTCCAAGATAAGTGAGGTTGTCAACGCGTTCGACTACTTCACTCCCCATCTTTAGTTTAGGTGTTGATGCAGACTAGTCCTGGAGCAACAATTTGCATTTAGAAGGAGAGAAGCGCACCCCAAATATTCTAGTATTGTTGCTCAGAGCTACCAAAAGACTGCATTTTATCAGCGTCTTCACGAAACATGACTATTTCATCTGCGTATGTATCTTGCATGTAAAGCAAAATTAAGCTTTCGGTATTTCCATATTCTCAAGTTGTCATCAAAATGCGATTATTGTGTTATGCATTACTAGAATAATTCTAATTTTAAATATATCATTATCAAAACAACTAGAAAAGTATAAGCTAAAAGGGATGAGGGTCTTTCGACAAAAAAGCAATTGGCAAAATATACTCTGTTTCATTGTCTTTAGCAGTTTTAGTTTTTCGTTTGGTACACTTCTAATGGCTATTTTAGAGACTGACGATGTGAAGAGATCCCTCTTTTCAATGTTTGCTCTGACCAGGACGTCTGACCAGTGCGGCAGTCTGTTTGTCCGCCTGCGAGATTCCAGTAAAATCAAGAGTCACTAGGTTTGGTAATATTGAGAGAACCGTGTGAAAGTAAGCCTGCAGAAGGAAAAAAACGTTGAACTGAATGAAATTTACTATGTAAGATGTTGACAATCCTAAGGTTTATCGGATTCCAATAAAGGTTTCTTCACCACTATTGATTACTGCAAACATGATGCTCCGATCATAAAAAATGCTGCCATTTTATTAATAATTATTTCCAAGTCGTACATCACATCACAAAAATGAGAAGGAAATTTAGTTTGTTCTTCCTCTTATACTTTTAGGAAGTCTATGTCCATATCTACTATCATGTAATCCTCAAACTGCAATGTCAATTTTTAGTGTTTGTGTCATGCGTGTGTTTTAGTGGACGATTCTTTTGACCATGATCGTCGTCACAGTATATATGATGCCAAAAGGAGTTATCTCCACATTGTAACAGGTTTGTTGTGAATTTCTTCAAGATAAGCCTGCCTACTCCATTTCTCAAGAGTAGGGAAAGCACAGCCCCTCTCAAATTACTGTATTTTTTAGTTCCCTCATTTCACACTTATGTAAACCACTCACTACAAGAATTTGTACTACGAAATTCAAGGACTTGTTTCGAGCCCTTAGGTGCTTATAAGAGGCTATTTTTAGCCTAGAAAATGTATCATGATGCTTGGCAAAAAGCCACATAATTGGCTTGATGATGCAATGTGAGTTGGGACGTATGTTTTTCTAAAAAACGGAACAACATGGTCAACAATAGCTGTTTCAGTGAACTGACATAAGGCATTACCTTCTCCTTCTCAATGGGGTTCCCATGTAACGTAAGTTTCGTGAGCTTCGGTAACTGTTTGAGTTTTATCACTTCCTGGAGTGTTGCTATTCTATTTCCATGCATATAGATGATTTTCAGGTGTTTAAGGCTACTAAAAGACTGAGCTAAAATTGAAAGTGAAAACAAACTACGATTTACATTTGGAATATTGGGTATGTTGTTACAAGATATATCTAACCACGTTAATCTGGATGTGTCTCCGAAAAGCTCATGAACCACAACAGGTAGTGCAGAAATGTCTTCTATTTGGTTGTTATTTATTTTCAGAGTCCGAGTAACCCATTTTTCATTTATATCCTTTTTAATGACCGAATTGCTACTAGGTATTACTCTCGGACAACACGCAGTTAAATCTGTTGAAAGGTGTAAGTGTTACTGACATTTGTAATACCTGATACGTTTTTTATATTCAGAAACGAATAATCCAAAGGCTGAGAAATACCTGATCTCTCGTTTAATTGTGTTTCATCACATTTTTTGTCAGCCCTAAGCTGGATTTACATGACGAAACTTTTCTTACAATTCAGTCATATCACCTCTAGTATGTTTTTCTCTAGCTTTAACGTAATTTTTATGGTGGTGAAATGTTAGGTGCAGTGATCCCTAGAGAACCTGGAAGAGAAAATGTGAGCAATTCGCCCAGTAAGTACGTAGAATGCACTTACGTTTAATGAGGTAATTAATTTAAAGCGGTCGGTAACAACACAAGCGTAAGATAACTACAATTTATTAATCGAGACTATGAGTTGGTAGGGTAGTTTGGAATGGGTTGCAACAAAGTTGCTCAAAGTGCGCTGGCGACGTTTCCTTGACAGAAATGAGTAAAACGTCTAATTTTCAATAATGTAATGGATAGCTTGTATAAATATTCGGAGTATCTTATACAAGTTTTGAAGTTGATATTGACTGGTTTTAGAATGTTATGGGTCGCCGAGCCTCCACCTTTGAGGCTCAGATTTTTGTAATATGAATAAAAAGGCTACGAACTGATTTCAAGGTACATCTTTAGGAACACTACAAATTATAATCAACCTTCGTAAATGAAAATCCGTCGTCAAAATGTTTCG